TAATTCAAAATATTTCTCAATTTTGATTTTTATATTTAATTGAGAAAAAATAAAATATTGTTATTTATTGATTTATTTAATACAGACATCAAGAGGTCAGTTTTATTGTAATTCATTTCTTCCGGGAAAAATGCCGACCTCCAGAGGTCAGTATTTGATTTTCCCGCTTTATTTTTCATAAAAATTGACTCCTTGTAGTCGGTTTTCTAAAGTTTTTTTATTTTTTATTGTTTTTAACAATATCGACCTTCAGAGGTCGAAAATTACCGACTTCTATTTGAGGTCGGTAATTTTTAGATCGGTATTAACTGTTTTTTTAGTAGTGTCTCAAATACATTTCACCAAGTTTCAACTCAATAAGTAACACCCAAAAAAATTTGATTCAAACAGCAAAATCAATCAATCAACTATATCACTATACCAAACTAAACTTGAAATCAGCTAAACTATTCCATCTAATTCATTCCAATACTCAATAATCTATGTTTAACCCAAATAAATCGAAAAAAATCACCAAAAAAATTTAAAAAAAATAAATCACAAAAGCGTCATTACCCAAAATCGGCTAAAAACTTAAACCCAAATAGACTTTGAAGTTGAAGATGAATTTAGCTAATCAAAACGAAGCAGAGAAGTTTAGGGTTTTCGGTAGGAAATGAAGAGAGAAGAAACTAAAAAGGGGATTTTACGGGGAACTTGGAGAAGGGGTTTAGGGTTTTTCGATATTTTTTTAATTTTAATTATATTTCGTTTAATATCCACTTAGACATCCGGAAGAATTTACCATATACTCTCGTCAGAAATAAGATATATTGAAACTTCATATGTGTTTTGTAGGTTATCTTTCTTGCAGTATATTGAGCAATATTCGTGTTAACTCATGCAGTATTTTCTCACAATAGTCAAATCATGCCTTTTCTTTTCCCCTCCATGCCTTCATGTAGTTCAAATTAACATCATATTGATTTCTAATGTCACGTTGTATATCGGCTGGAATATATATTGTCTGGTATGAGTATGTGGAATCATAAAATTATACTTACATAGCTCTTTGTACTAAATTGTTATTCCCCAATTTACTTAAACTAGCAAGGTAGCAGGCAATTGTAAACCACTTTCAATTTGCTAAAACTAGCAAAGTAGCAGGCAATTAAAGAGGTGTCATCAAAAATTTTTTTAAGATGTATGCTAGCAGCTCTTATTCATATGACCGTGAACAAGAGCTTTGTCATCAACATTTCAAGATAGCAATTTCGTATAATCAGGAAGTGAATAGTCTAATCCAAATGACATATGATAAATATACATGATATAAGTTTTAACAGACAACAAATGTTACACAAAACGAAAAAAAAATATCCAAACATGAGATTCAACATATTAACTATAAAAAACAGAGTAAAGTAAACATAAAAACTATAGTCAACTATGTTTTAGAAGAAGAAGCTAGATATAAAATTTAAGAAATAAACTTGAAAAGCTATGTTGCTTGTGGAATATTTCGACATGTTTGCCTATTGTGATCTTGTTGTCCACACAACCCACATGTAATTCTTGATTTCTTTCGCCTTGATTCACCACTATTTTTGTGTCGTATCTTTTGTGGCCTGCTGTAATGACCCTAAAGGTCATTTTTGGAAATTTTCATAAAATGACCGTTTTACCCCTCCCGATAGTTGCCCCGAGTCCTAATTAATGTACTTTCGAAGTTGGTTTGAAGGAAAATTGATGAAAAGTTGAGTTTTTGGAAAGTTGAGTTTTTAAGAGTTAAAGTTTGGTTAAAAGTGCTATTTCGAGTCATTTGGAGTTTCGAGACTCGAATCGGATTTCCGTCGATTCCAGCAGTTTTAGAATGTTGAAACGGGTCTATGAGAATTTACGGAGTCGAATTTGGAGTTAAAACGAAGATTTGAGGTCCTAAGTTGCAAAAATTGTGAAATTTTGATCAAGAGTTGACTTTGGTCAACAAACGAGGTTCCGGTGCTCGAAATGGAATTCCGAGGGCACCGTTGGATTCAAGGGGTGTTTCTAAGTCTAGAATGAGTCTTGGTTGAATTTTTAGAGGCTCCAAGTGCATTTCGAGTTTTTGAGCTTAAAGTTAGTTTCTTGACGCCTTATCGGATACCGGGTCAAGGAGACCTCGAATTCAAATTCCAATGATTTCATCGAGTCCGAAATGTCATTTTCAAGCTAGTAGCATATTTGGTTTGTGTTCGGGAAGTGCCAAATGAGTTTTGGGTGAGCTTTTAAGCTTCTTGGATGCTTTGACACTATTTCAGCAAATTATGGCAACTAAAGGGTTCATTATTAGTTTTAAGGGTCGAAAAATTATTCCGAAGGTTCTGGAATTTTGAGCATGAATTATAGGACTTATCTGCAAATTTTGGTGCATCTTCGCTAACCCGAGATTGGACTTTTATCGCAAATAAGAAATAATTATTTACCGAGTAGAAATGATATTTGACTGGGCAAACGAGCATGAAATTGAGCTCCGATTGAACGAGAAGGTCCGTATCATTATTTAAGACATTTACAAAAAAGAATCGGGTCATTTCACTATCGTATGAGGAAATTACAGCCTTTTCAGTGAAAGATTAACTGTTGTTTTTCTGGTGCATAACAGCCATCTACTGTTATAAAAATCTCAGACTGTGTTCATTTGGTATTTTGAGCATATCGGGAGTTCTAGAGATCAGAATGGAGTGATTCTTACGGGTTTCTTCTTGAATTAATATGAGGGTTAGTATTCAATCTTCAATTCGACATTTTCTCATAATTTCTTTATCTGGTTTTTTATCCGTAAACCTCTTGGGAAAAATTGGGGTTTTATCGATTTGGACTCCCTTTTTGATGAAAAAGGTATATTTACGATCCTTATGTTATGGGTAAACTGATTTTAACATAAAATTATTGATTCATCGATTATTTTCATCATATTAACCACGTACAATTTGGACTTTCCCGGTAAAGTTAAAGTTTGATAAATTGAGAATTTCAAGGTCGATCTTAACTCCGTTTTTGATGAAATTTCATATTTGAACTTATCTAAGCATGGGTAAGATGTTTTTCAAGAGATATTTCATTTTCGAGTCAGGGTTTCGGATCCGAATATTTTAGGCTTCTTCAAGAACGTGGATTTTCCTTCAAATTGAGTTTGTGAACTCATTTCAACTCCTTTTTCGAAACGGTTTTCACTATTGGATTCTAAATTTCTTGGGGAACATTTTTCACTAAAAATTTCCAGATTTCGAGAATATTTTCCGGAACGAGATTTTTGACCATTTTACCCTTGTTCTCCAAATTTCACGATATTGGTGTTGTTAGATTCGTATTTATTGTGGGATTCCATTTATGAATAGATTGTGGTGATTTGGAGCGTGCTCGGAAGGGTAAAACTCAAATTTGAGTTACTAGTTGAAGTGTTTTGAGGCAAGTGACTTCTAAACTTTGTTAAACTCTTAGACTACGCATGACTACTTTCCTAATTGTGTTGGGGAGTAATGGGAATTGAGGATGGATTTTATTTGTTGATTGAAATTGTTGTAAATGAAAGATGGGGAATAAAACAAGCTAAATGTGTTAT